TCAGTCACATCCGACCTTCTGCTCCAAACAGCATCAACACTAAGTATTTTGGTCTTCTGTGCATCAGCTATCACCTGTCCTGTTTTTCCTTCTGATTCTTTACTGCTCATGTAATAGTTGAAGGTTTTCATGTGGCACTGGGGTCCCATGCTGCTTTCAGTTTTGGTTGTGTTTTGACTTCCCTGGCAGGGGTGCTGCATGCCTGGGTGATATTTGTGTAATCTTCCCTTGGTAGGCTGCTCTTGTTTCTTCCTCCTTAGGCCAAGCCACTGATTGATCTGTTTGTTTTGCTGGGTTTTGGAATGTACTCCTTGTGTGGTTAACAATTGTCCTTAAATACCCCCCCTAGTTTTCTTGAGCTCTTTTGCTTTTTAGAACTGGATCCCACAGAACTCCAGGTACTGGGTAAGTCAGTCTGCCCATATGAAGTGCAGGCTCTGTGCTGGATTTGCCTTCTTCCTCTCAGGATTTTAAAATTCACTACTTCATGGTCAAGGCTGCTGTTGATCTCATCCCTGGCAAGGTCTTAGGGTTTTTTCCTTGAAAGCAGTTTCAAGAAAGTATCAAGTGAGGAATGACTCATTTAGTGCTGTTTTCCCTGAAATCTTTCAAAAACCTCTTAGATTTTGTCTTCTGCTGTGTTGCCCTTCTAATAGATGTCACAGAGGTGAAATAGTAACCAGTCTCTCTCATTTTCAGAAACATTCTGGAACTGCTAAAATGGTCTTTATCAGCTTTCTTACCCCGATGAGGTGATTTGTAAGAAATTTTGACTGTGATGTTGTCCATACGATCCTTTCCTTTAATCCACAAGCTCTTAGCCAGCCTGTTGTCTGTCCTGTAGAACAACTTTGTGTTCCAGCTGCTCCTGCAGGTAGAGGGCAGGTCACCTGCTGTTCTTCTCTTCCTGGCTTTGTTAAAAAGCCTGTGTCCGTTTGTGACAAAGTGCCAGTCATGCAAGCTGTCCCATGTGCCTCACTCTGGTGTCAGTTCTGTGTACAGGTGCTGTAGGTGGCTTCCCTTTTAACATGCTTTATGCTCACCAGGGTGTCTCTTCCTTCAACCAGTCTGGTCCAGGTACTTCCCATAGCTCAGTCTTTATTCCCTCTCTGACTGCAAAGTTCAATTTCCATTCCCTGGTAGATCTCTCATTTACAGTGCTTGTCACCAGCTCTGATGAGGTTGTTCATAACCTGCTTCCTTGATTGGATCCCATGTCTAACTTGGCAGCCCTTGTTTCTCAGGGTACTTGTGGCCATAAAAGTTAAAGTGCTTCCTTGCAGTGCCAATCTTTTAGTGAGTTCTTAACTTGAAGGATGTGTCCCTAAAAGCCTTTTCCCCCTCACAGGAAAAGAGTAAGGATAGTAAGCATCGCTTGGGATCCCATGTCCTCCTTTGTCCCTGGAGTTTTCTAGTCACACTTGATTTGCTCCAGGTCTCTGTTAATAACAGGTAATAATTAAGTGGGAAAAGAACAAAGAAAGAAAAGAAAAAGGCACTAGTGGTGATGATAAGGGTCGGAGGACCCTTGACAATCTCTGACATGTCGAATCTGGTGAAGCCTCCTTCTCCAGCATATCTGGCAGCAGATATGTTTCTTCCCTGAAAAAGGGAATCTCCAGCTAGTATTACCTGCCCCTCCCTTGTGTTGCTAATGCCCAGTCCAAGCCCAGCTAGCTCTGACATGTACCTTAATTGAGGTGCTTGCTACTTCTGCATGCTGATGTTTGACCCAGAAAAAAAAATGTGTTTGCAGCCTTACTGTAAGGAAAAGATTGTGGAACACTGGTATAATGAAAAAGAGATGTTGGGAGATATGCAGTAAGAAAGGAATTGAGATTTATGGAAAAGTTCTGATAATTAGAAGGCTCAGACTAGTGTTTGAGTAACTCTCTTAGCATCTAGGTGTGCTGGAAGCTTCACGTGCAGGAGGGATTGTTCAGTGTTATCCTGAGGATTGTGTGCTTTAGCTTTCATTGACATGTTTGCATGCAGTCAGTGTGCATGAAAATACTACTTGGGCTTCAAAAGTATCAAAAATCAAAACTTTAAAAAGATTTTTGACAATCTTCTATTTTGGGCAAGGCTCTTCAGGCTGTTGGGTTTTGCTTTTTTTTTTGGCACGTGGTTATTACTATGTTGATTTGTGTGTTTGGACCGGAGAAATGAGTGCTGTAGTTGCAACTGAAACATTTACTGTTTCTGGCTTTTAAAGCACTTGGACCAAGCTGCCAGGCAGTGACAGGTGGGACTACTGGAGTCTAGTTTCCTGGCAGTGTATCTCTGAAATGTAGTACTTCCAGCTTTTAACATAATTTTTCTTCCCTGTTGCCACTTTTTCAATATTCTGCCATGAAACTGTGTAATGTCCACTTTGAAATTTGACTCACATGAGTTGTCTGGCAATGAAGAGGCAAGAGATAGTTGAAGAATCTAATGCTTATTAGCTATGTCAGTACAGATGAGTATTTGAGAAACTTCTGGTTGTACTGAACTGTTCTTTCTGCTTTTATATTTGTTCAAAATTGTCAAAGAAATGAACAAATAACAGCTGAAGAGGGAGAGAAATAAAGCATTGATTGTACAAATCCCATTTGTTTAGAAAAGCAGTCCAAAAAAATCAACATATGGATACTCATCTGTCCAGTTTGTTTTGGCTATGTTGTGTTTCAGCAGGTATGAACTGAAAATCAGAGGGGTTGATACATTTTAGTAGTAAGGATGTGTCATATCTTCCTCAGAGTATGAATTCTGTTGCCCACTATCTGCTGTGAAAAGGCAGAGTGTTGCTCTTACATGAATTATTGTCCTGTTTGCGAAATTCTGAGCAGGCTCTCTTGTGAGGAGGGGGAAGCAAACGTGTGTGCTATGGTCTTTTGTTGTGGAATTTCAGATGGCAAAGACTGGAGATGCTGCCACAGAGCAGCAGCTCTGCTTGAGTGATTTGCTTCAGAATAGAAGCTTCTGATTTCGCAGGTTACAGATTTGAGGCTTTTAAGGAAGTTAGTAACATCATAATGTATTTCGTTATCAGTCACTTAAACTGTACTTGAGTTCACATCCCTTTTCTTTAATATAGTAACATTGAAGATGCAGAAATGCAATTTGGAGATGAACTTGACAATATTGTGTTACAGTTCTCTAATCAGGCTGTGGGGGAAAGGGAAACAGAAGAGTATGGAAGTCACTGAAAAACAGTTCAGTAATTTACATTAATAGTGTAAAAGCTACTATGTGTTATGGAAACATGAATGTACTTTAAATCTACCCATAAACAGAGGTAGGAGTAGTGTTTACTTATTCAGAGGTTTAGAATGGCTAGTTTGGAAATATGAAAAGATCCTTTAGGAGGGGATAGGACTGTGACAAGTCAACCAGTATTCATGGAAATCACTATTATTTAGGGAACAGTATTAATTCAACCTAGTAGCAGAGAATTAATTGTTCAGATCTGTTTACTATGGTCAAAAATTGGGTGGTACAAACCTATTAGAATTGTCTTTGAAAAGGTGTGCATTATTGGTAAGAGGCATTGCACATAAATCTCTTTCCTACCTCAAGTTGATGTGGGTTTTTTTTGGTTGGTGTTTCTTTTTTTTTTTCCCTTTCCCCTTCTCCCAGACTGAAGGTAATGTGAAAAGTAATGCTATGAATGGTAGGAAACATAATAATCCTACCTAGTTTGTTAGTAATCGGCTATTGTGAAGGCCTTTGCTTGCAAGCTGTGATCTGGAACTTAGTATGTCAACTGATTTCTCTTTCTAAAGGTTTTTTAAAATAGCTGGTAAAAATCCCATTGTTTTGTCATCAGGAAGAGAATGCAAAGACTTGATAGAGGGCAAAATTTTAATAAAGCAGAAGGATATCTGTTGAGTCCCTTCCAGCTCACCATATTCAATGATGTACTGCACTGGAGCTCCTCTACTGCACTGGAGCTCCTCTACTATATGGAGAAGTGCAAGTTAAAACATAAAAGCACTGTGTAAAATGACTGAAAAACTTTTTCATCTGAGGCTGTTACTTTACATCTGTAAAAAGCACCAAAGCCATCTATCTTTCTCACAGTGTCCACTCTCCTGGTGGCCTTGCAGCTCTCATGGCTGTGGTCGCATCTGTATTTGTGTCTACAACCTGCACACATAAAATGACTGAAAATCTGAGCTTGGTTTCCAGCAAGGTGGACGAAACAGTGGGTGTAAGTGCTAAACCTGTTTCCATCATGAGCAAAGGGTTTGCTTTCCATGACCTGGCTGTCATGTGCAAGTACTCCTGATATAAGGGAAGCCTGTGTTTGGTGAAATAAGGGGAATCTTGCTTCAGGCCTTTTGAGTAGCTCTTTTTATGTCACTATATGAATTATTTTTCAGGGTTGAATTGAGGAAATTTTGTTATTTGGAAGCTTGTTTGCCTAGAGGCATGCAGATAAGGATTCCACAGCCTTTTTAGAGGAGTAAGACAAGCAGAAAAGACAAACAAATGCAAAAAACTCATTGAGATTTTTGGAAAATATTAATTTGTCCTCTATCTCCCTATACATAGAGGAGCCTTTTATAACTCAAAGCAAAGTAACTTATTTCCATCCCAGGACTTCTCAGGAATTCTGTCTATCCTGGCAGGCTTCATTGCTGTTCCATACTTTCATTTTACAGTGAGAGACTAATGGTAAGGTGATTATATAGTGACTGGAAAACCCACTACTGAAAATGTTTAGCTTGGGTTTTTGTGTGGGATGTGGATTGTGGAGAAGAAAAAAACAAACAAAAAAAGCCACCCCCAAAGAAAAGGCTTGAAAGATATAGCTGCCTGTTGGATGTAATTCCAAATGAGCATCACGGGGCCTTTGCACTGCATTGTGTGACAGGGTCTGCACAGACTCTCTTCAGCAGTGACAAGTCTGACTGACAGCATGATTTCTATACAGGAAAAGTATGTCATAGGGCACTTACAGTGAATAACTGAGTGTGACTTGTTTTCAAAACATAAAAAAATTATCTTTATAGGTCTGACAAGAAGCCTAACTATAACTTCAGTTGACCAGTCAACGTTTGAAAAAGCACAAGGAGAGAAAGTTACGTTGCCATGTACTTTTGAACTCTCGGAAGAAGATGAAGGCCCACTAGATATTGAGTGGGTATTGATACCAACAGATAATCAAAAGAAGGAACAAATAGTAAGTAGAGACTTCTTTTTGGATGGTGTTGATTCTGTTGTTTGAGTAGGTCAATGTATGAGTCTTGCTCCTGACTTTTTAAACTTCCACCTTTTCAGGCTGGGATGCTTGTGATCTTAAATTGCTTTGAAGCACCAATCACATAAAATCTAGTGGAAGTTTTGAAATACCAGATTATGGATGAAATGTCAAGACATTTTTCACTTATAAACTTGCATTCTAATAACTCCCAAGTTAAATACCCTTCAGTTCCAAAAAGCAAACTTTGCTTCAGTACCTGCATTATCTTCCTTATTGAAAATAGATTTTCTATGATAAATTATCTTTCTATCTGAAAACAGATTCATGAGGACTTAATTTTAAATATATTAATCACTTTAGTTATTAATACTTTCCTGTCTTTGAAAGCCTTATAAGTAAGATGATTCATATTAGTAGGCAGGTTTTGCAGAATTAAATTGGAGCAATTCTAAACAGTTTTCTTTCAGTCAGAAGTCAATGCTGACATATTGGTACTTGGTCAGGGGTTTTGTTGGAGTATTCACTATAAAGCAGTGTGTAGTGATACTTTGAAGATGGAGATATTTGACTCTGTTTTATTCCTGGGCTTAAAACTATAGAAAGAAACTTGAGAATTCAAAGAGACAAAATTATTTTAAATGTTTGCACACTAAGTGAATTTCTGATTTGTGTGTTTTGTTTGTTTGTTTGTTTTATAGATAATTATGTATTCTGTAGACAGGGTTTATAATCATTATTATGCTGGTTTGACTGGGCGAATGCAGTTTACTAATCTTGATCCCAGATCTGGTGATGGTTCATTGGATATCCTGAATTTAAAGGCAGCAGACACTGGCACATATCAGTGCAAAGTGAAGAAGGCTCCTGGAGTTCAAAGCAGAAAAATACAGTTGACTGTATTTGGTAAGATAATTTCTTTTCTTAAATTTTCAGCAATGTTTTTTATGTGCTTATTCTACCCTATTTTCAATGCGTGTAATGAAAGCTTCAGTTGGGCAGTGTTGTACTGAATCTGTGGTGATTATGGTCATTATTGAGGCCTTGGGAGAGATGGGCATAATTCTGTTCTGGGAAATGAAGGGAATGATATTTAGAATAACAAACATTTTTAGAAGTTCTGAGAACATATCTAGTAAACATTTTGATTGTGACTGTTACTAATTCAGTGATGTTTTGTTTATTAGTAAAGCCAGCACGGACTAAATGTTCCATTGAAGGATCACAGGAGATTGGAAAAGACGTTACCTTGAAATGTGTGTCACAAGAAGGATCCCCACTTTTGTCTTATGACTGGAAGAGAGTCTCTGGCACACAGAATCTTCCTGCCACTTCCGTGCTGAGTACTGTCAAAATTCATTTATTACTCTGAAATACTTAAAAAGATTGCGGTAGTGTTTTTGGCTTGTCCTGACTTGTAAGCATCTCTGGGTTAGTATTACTCTATAGAGTAGTCAAGATTAAATGCCACTTCTGCCCTCTAACAAAACTGACTGAAACAAGCTGGAGTTGATTCTGGTTTCTAATTCATGCTTGGAAATGTTTCAAGCTTTAAGTTGAGATTCTTACCATTAGGTTGCAGTATCATGCTCACCTGTATCCAGATGTTGTGAGTTCTCCTGCTTGCTGATAGTTTTCCTTTTGTGCTTAAGTGGACATTAGGGAATTCAGGTGTGGCTTCAGTTTGATTTAAAACAAGAAAAAGTTTCCATTTTTTTGTAAGCTTCTGCACTCTAATAGAGAATGTGATATCTTAAAACACAGATCCCTAAAAATCAGCTACAAAGGGAGAACCTAATCCTGTTCTTCATTTTGAACTTGACTACTGGTTTCTTATTTGATGTCTCTTATTTATTGTTTTGACAGTGAATCAGTTGATCGTTAATGTCCTTCTCTGTAACACTCACGACTTTAGGCTACTGTTGTTATGCCCCTTCCTTCTCCACATCCCAAATTTGGCTTGTGGTAACAACAAGAGCAATTGGCAATATAAGTGCTGGACAAGAATGAGTGCGAAATCGTGCAAGAGTAGCTTGTAACTCACTAAAACCATGTTAGTTTTGGGCTTGTGAATGTAGTTTTGGAGACACTTGAGTGTGTTCTAAAGAATCTAGACACTACCTGACTTGTTCAGCAGACAGAGCAAGTCAAATGCTGTGGAATATATTTCTAACGGGGTAAGACTTTTACAAACAATAGCATTTTACAGCATGATAGAACTGTTTTAATCTGGATTACTTTTTGTATAGCATTTTAAGTTAAGATTTTATGTATATCCTGATTTAATAATTCTGTGATGTTACATATGGAGCTATATTTAGGAAAATGATAAACCTCTACCTTCTGTTGTTTGTAGATAAAAATACAGGGGAACTTCTTCTGAAAAATGCTTCTCGAGAGTATTCTGGTACATACAACTGTGTGGCCTCAAACAGAGTTGGCACGGATGAATGTTCTGTTGAGCTGAATGTCACCCCTCGTAAGTGTTTGCTGTGTAATGGTCACACAGTGTTCTTGTATTAAAACTGAGCAATCTTTTTCTCTAAACTCCTGAAAGGTTAAAAACTCCAATGCTGTTATGTAACTTGTGGGTGCCACTTCAAGTCTTACTGTTTTAAATGCATGTGATTGAGCACTCCCCCTGTGATTCAGTGATGTCTTATTGACCTGCCTCATGTGAAACATACTGGGCTTAATGTTAAAAGAAAGGTCTTTATAACTTTGACATTTAACAAACAGTTTTGTTATTTGTTTGTTCTAGCCATAAATACAGCTGGTATAATTATTGGAGCTATTATAGGAACTCTGCTGGGTGTCTCGGTACTGTGTTCTATCATCTTCTGTTTATGTAAGAAGCACAAAGAGAAGAAATACGAGAAAGAAGTACATCATGATATCAGGTAACAACGTGTCTCTAGTTTCTGAACAGTATTATTGGAAGATTAACTTTTAAATGTGTATTTCTGCAAATAAGTTACTTAGCAGTTGAGATTTCTGTCTTAATCTGGAAAGCTTATTATAACACACTAATGGCTTGTCAGAGAACTTTTTGTGGTTTGTCTAATTTCAACAAATATTTTAGAGGCCATGAATATTGAGGGTTTGGGGGGTTTGTTACTTTAAAGGAAGATATAAGGATATTTTTGACTACTGCATTAGAATAGAAAAAAGCAAATTGAATATTTGTCTTAAAGTAATGGTGACTCTTTTTCTGCAACTGATTTTTTTTTTGTGTGTGTGTTTTATTCATTTCAGAGAAGATGTTCCACCTCCAAAGAGTCGCAGTTCTACAGCTCGCAGCTACATCGGCAGCAATCGTTCTTCCCTGGGCTCAATGTCTCCCTCCAACATGGAAGGATATACCAAAACTCCATATAGCCAAGTCCCAAGTGAAGACTTTGACCGTGCTCCTGCTCAAACCCCAGCCTTTGCACCTTCAAAGGTAGCTGCACCTAATTTAAGTAGAATGGGAGCTGTTCCTGTGATGATTCCAGCACAAAGCAAAGATGGGTCAATAGTATAAAATATTATTAATTTAAAAGCTGTTTTTTAAAGTGTTCATTGTAAGTATTAGAGAAAACTACGGTGTTCCATCCCTCATTTAAACACTGGCATGAAATTTTCCTTGAAGAAAATATACAAGTTAGTTTGAAAAGCCACCAGTTCTCATACTTAAGTTTAAACTTATTCAGATATGACAGTTGAACTATTTGCTAAAAGCATTAAAGTTCATGAATAAATATCAGACACTGAAGGTATTTGGACCTCTGGTAGGTTGCTGAGGAGGCTCTGACACTGTCAGCTGATGTACAGTTCTGAATGTGTAACAGTGATACACAGGAGAAATAACAAAAGCATTTCATGTGTAGACCATGAAGTTTCTCAGAGTTCTTGAGACTTTATTCTCAGTTGTGGAATAGCAGAAATATTTTAACTTGGCCACTGTCTGGTATAGTTGCAGGGGGCTGAAATACCAAGGATAACTTTGAATTCTGTTCAAATTGAGTATTTATGTGGTTCTTTAACCTGGTGATGTTTGTTTGGAGTATTTGAACTTATTTCGAGGGCAGACAGTTATTTGATGGTTCAATTAATTTAATTAATCTATTCTGAATTTATAAGGGCAGCGAGTGGGAAGTGTGACAGGAAACCTTGCAAATTCTTTGAAACACACATTTTTCTACAATAACTAATTCAGGTCGTGTCAGATAACTTAATACTTACATTATCTGGTGCAAGAGGTCCTATCAGGTTGTCAGTAGAAGTATCTAAGCTCTAAAACCTACAGATCAACTGTTACTGCCACAGTAAGAATGAATTAATGTATCTTTATACAGGTCTTTAAGTTAATTGTACCTTGCATTTTGCAATGCCTGATTAGATACTAAGGCAATGCTCTTAGTTTTTTTTTTCCAAAGCAATTTCCTAGAAGCTCCATGGGCATTTGATGAAACCTGTTAATAACTGGTATTTGATGTCAGTCCTCTTGCTCTAACCACTGTGGAAACAACTTTTCTCATATGCACCTAAGTAGTAGTCAGTCCTTGTTCAAGATGCTAATGTCTGGCTGTATGAATTCACAAGGAGTTCAAAGCGCTTCAAATTTTCAAATTTTTTCTTGCCCTCTTTAACAGCCCTAAATATTCTGAACTAATGTGGAGAGCAAGAGTTTCATGTAGCTGAGAGGAAATAATTACCCAGAATTTTGATACAAATCTCATGTTGCGAGATTGAAAATGCTTCTTCCCAATTTTGCAAACTTAAAGCAATACAGGAGAAACACAACACAATTCCTTGTCTTACTTTCAGATGCATTTAAGGACTTCTGGTAGCTTCTGATGACTGTTATTATATACCTGCAAAAGCTCCATTTAAAACTCAGTACAGTTTTGTGAATTCTTTCTTCCTTCCTATTTTCTGCCTTCTTTGTCTTGTGCTGGGGAGCAGGTACAGGAGAGCGTTTTTTAGCTTACTCTAGCTAGAGATGTTGAACTGCAAGGTATTTTGGAAAACTGTAAATGCATTACAGTATGTGCAGTGATGCTGATGAAGGAAATATCTGAACAGCCTGTTGAAAAACGTTAGGATTATTTGTGTGTAGCAACAGTGAGAGGAAACAACATTACCCCAGGCTTCTAGGTTTAGCATCTGCTTATCTGTAGCTGCCTATAGATCTGTGATTAGTTCTTTGGCTTACTACTAAATGTTTGTCCTATCTGTAAATAGGTGCACAATTTTTGGCTGGCACTATTAATGTAAAGAAATTCCCCTGCCCATGGCAGTGGTTGGTACAAGGTCATCTTTAAGCTCCTTACAAGCTAAACAATTTCATGATTTTAACATACCCTTCATACTGAATTTAGAAACTTGAATGGCTATTAAGTAATATAGTTAGTTTTACACATTTGGGACTTTTTTAGATTGTAAACTGATACTGTTAGAGATCAGATTTTTTTATCTTTCATGTGTGCCTTGTCAATAAACTTTGCCTGATTGTAACTTAAGTTTTTATGAAATTTCTGGTGCCTAAACATACTGTATGAACAGGTGCTTAGATGATGGTACAGTTCTTAAAACATGACACTGTGATCTGATTTCTTGATTCTTATGTACTATTTATACCTCTTCATGCCTATTTTTGGATGTGAACTTCAGTGTCTCTCTCTGTATTGTTCTGTATTTCAAAATGTCACTTAACTCCTTCAATTGCTAATTATGATTTGAGTGTTTGTGTTCCTGAAGGCTCTTCAGTTATTGTACCAGTGAGAGGGATGATTGACTTTTATTGATGTGGTAAAATAATAAGTTTAGTAAATGTGCCAAACTTAGCTTCTGAAGAACTATAGATGAAGAGACATCTTTTTGCATCCAATTATTGTGATAGAAGAGATTTCCAAGATGTTAATCATACACTGATTGTTTACCTTGAAATTAAGGCCTTTCTTAAGGAAAAGGGTATAGTTACTACAAATATAAGTGGAGTGCAAGACTAAACTGAATCACACACTGAGAGAGGTATAAACCTAAGGAATCAGGCAGCAAACCTACTAAATTTGGTTCTAAGCCGTCTGTGGACCTATGTGTTTTTGGTGGTTGGAGATTTTTTTGCAATTAATTTTTTGTTTGTTTTGATTTGGCCTGAGACCCTGTAACTTACAGTAAGGTAAGCCCTAGGACACAAACTCAGAAACCTGTCTCAGTAAAGCACATGGAGCAGAGTTTACACATGCTTGATGCTCTGTCAGCTTGTGCAAAATAATAAATGGGCAGAAGGACAGCCTGATGTGCCCTCAGAGCCTGGCTGTTGGGCTTAGCAGCCTTGACAGTGTCTGTCTATTTATGTAATTGCATGGAAAAATGAAAGAAATGGAATCTGACACAGTCCTTATCTGAATTATAGAACCTCTGACTTGGGGTAAACTCTGCCTCAAGTTGCTATCATCATGCCTTTTTGGGTGGATGCAACACTACTATGAAAACATAATACTGCTACTATAAATTATTTCTTTTGTCACTAGATTTTTCACTTACACTGGATTATGATTCTCAAGAGCAGCTACTATATTTTAACAATAATTTCTAGCTGTGTGGGAGATGAACTGGTTAAACATGTGAGGTGTCCGATGTGACAGAGAGCTCTGCTGACAGAACAGTTTTAGGAAGTAATGGCAGCTGATATACCAGTTAGGAGGTGGCATTTTTAAAGTCTCATTTTGTTTAAAAAAAATGGGGAGGGGGAAAGGGGAGGGAGGGAGATACCATTGTGTAAATAATCTAAGTGAGCTCAAGAAACCTCTAGTTAATGTCATGACTGTAAACTTGCCTGTTGAGGACTACTATATATAGAAAGAAACCCATCAATTTTAGCATGGTGTGAATAAAGTGTTAGACTTGTAATACTGTAGAGGTTACGTAACACTTGTCCATACATTACAAGAGTTTTCATCAACTTTCTGCAGTGGGTATTTAAAGATACTTGTGTGAAACTTCCTTCCCTAAAAACAAATACTTCTTCCAAAACTGTGTGGTGCACAGAAATGCCTTGTTGGAGGAGTAAAATATGACTTTTGAGAGAAATGTACAATGCATACGTCTTTCTCAGCTCTTGATAGTCTCATTCATATTAGATGTATGCTTCCTGTTTAATAGTGCAAGTAAGACTTCTGAACTGCAAGTTTTTCTGTAATGCTGAATATTGTATATTACTGGTTTCCATTACAAGCTTTTAGTTTTGTTCTGAGCAGTGTATATATTCTGGATCACTCTAGGTCTTTTTTCCAGTCTAAAGATATTATGCTATTTGTGTCACTTGAACCTTGTTTTATACACTGGATAGGTGCTTTTTGGGGCCCTTTGTTGAATAGTCCCCTAGCACTGAGGCACAGCTCAGCTGAAATCGGAGCAATAACAACTTCCTGGGATCCAAAATGTTACAATGTTACATTACACTTCTCATGCACAAAGCATGATCTTTGAACATTAATATGAATTTCAGTATGAGGTTTTATATTCACACTTTTGGGGGAATGGTATTTTAAAATACAGGTATTGTGATTGAATTTGTAAAAAACAAAATCCAAAATTTTAAAATGCTGTAGTTCCATGACAGACTTGTGTACTTTTTTGAAATAAAACTGTTGGAGAAAACAGTAGTCTGTCTTTATTTTAAAGCAGCACTTGTATATGGCTTCAGCTTTTTCTTTATGTAATTGGAAGTGAACTAATAAATATGGCTGTGTATACCATGCTGGCATGAATAATTTTATTTATTGTTTCCCCCCCTCTTCCAAGGCAAGTAAAACTTGAGATATTTTAAAATACGCACTTCTAGGTGGGGTTTTTAATTGTAGATACAGTTATTCTGAAACATAAGGCTGGAAAGGAACTTTAGATTAAATTTCATCCCTCTTTATTTAAGGTAGAACCAAAAATTCCTGAAACTGATTAATCTTTGTGTTTTAAAGTTCAAACAAGCAGGCTGACAACACTCAAAGTATGTTGGTAAAATGCTCGGGGGTTTTATTGTTAATGTATTAATTTGCATCTCTTTCAATTTCAATGAAGCTGACTTGGGATACTTTGCACTACTTGGCCTTGCAAACCAACTGATTATTGTCCTGGTAATTTTACATGAGATTAATGTGATTTCTTCAGGGGTGGAGATCCAAAGTCTGACATGGGCTCTATTTGCTTTGATGGCATGTATTAAGTTCATATAATTGGAGGCATAATTAGCTTGCATTTGCTCATAATGTATGCATGTTCATATGTTATAGTGCATGCCTATCTCCATGTATTATTGTATTCTGGGCCAGGCCAAATGTTCCAGTCATTTCTTTGTATATATAAAAAACCCAATACATGTGTGCACAAGCATGTGAAAAATGGAGTACTGGTGGATAAACCTAAATTTTTTTTTTTTTAGATTTCAAATGAAGACTTGTGCTTAAATATCAAAGGAAACCTAATAAAAAATGGAAGTTCAGATTTGTCTCTATAGAGTTCTAAGAAAACTTTCTTGGACTCTTTTAACATTCATGTCAAAACTTGGGAAAGGACAGAAGTGTTGAACTTAGGATGGCAGCTTGGTGGCAGTTTTGTGACAGATGGCTCTTGCATGCCTCAGTTGCTCCTCAGGTCTTTTATTTGGAGGATAGGTGGCCGTGAACCAGAAGTTGAGTTCTACCTCCAGCTTGTCTGTGGAATTCCAGCAAAACAGCTAGAAATTTCCTGAGTGTCCTGGCAGAACAGAGGGCACTCAGCACCTGGTAGCTCTACAGAGCCTCTGTGTTTCTTTATATGTGTATAGACAGTGCCTTGCTTAAAGTGTCATAAAAGGTCTGGCTGTTTCTCTGAACATCTTGGCTGTGTCTTTTGAGCTTACTATCTCAAATTTGTTTCTCTGATGGAGCAGCTTGACTTCTTTCAAAGCTCTTTGATAATACTGATAGGCAATTAATTGCTAGACTCTTTTAAAAAGTAGATAATGACAGCAACTTAGCCTTGTTTCCTATCTGGAAAATACATAAAGCGGAGTAGTTAGTAAAGAACATAGCTGATTGGGTAGCAGAAGTGAGAATAGGATAAACAAAGCTATGAATGTTGCCTACCTTTCCAAATATCAGCTTAGTCTAAAACTGCTTTTAGCTTGTGTATGACTACAGGTGATTTCTCAAAACATAGAGACTTGCATCTTAATATAAAAAATAATGTGTGTACTAGAGTTAGGATGTTTCTGTTGCTCTTCTTAATTTGCTTTAGGCTTTTTTTTTGCAGAATGGTGCAGGCACAGCTACCAGGGGAAGAGTATGAACCTTTAATTTTATAAAATAACCACTCTGGCAGAAAACTGCCCTGGAGGATTGTGTTGTCCCTGCTTCTGACTTCCATTCAAAGTCAAGTTTCTGGAAATATGGAGTCTTTAAGTATCTTTTGATTTTTGTTTTGTTGGGAATCAAAGTCAATGTCACCCTTGTAAGTTGGTATTTTGAAGACTTCTGCTTTCAGCTGTTGAAGCACTGGTCAGGTTGCTTTGGATATGCAAAGTCACAGTAGTATTTAGTGGCAGCAGCTTCTATTTGGGTCCTCATTTTTAGTAAAGCTTCTTTTGGTCAATGTTGTCTAGAGAAAGAGATGAAGGACAATTGTACTGTATTATTTGGGAAACAAAGCACTGCAATACCTACAGGAATCCTGCACGGTGCTAGGGCTGATGGATGGATAGAGGGAGGGAGAGGAGCAGCTTTGTAAGGAAGTTGAGCTCGTTGGTTACATAACTTGATTATGTAACAATTTAAAAAAGTGGCAATATTAGAAGAGACATTACCAAAGATAAAATGATGTGCTTTCAGATGTTAATCTAATTTTTTCTTGGGGGAAAAACCTCTGGAGGCAGTGTGTCCGCCGGGAAGCGCAGGGAGCTGCCTGATGCCTTGACAGTTGTCCCACTTCCAGGGCTGGATGCTGTGGCTCTGGGGAGCTGCAGGCAAGGCACGAGCCGAGTGCTGTACCTGAAGGCTATTGTACTCTCTTTCCCAGAGAATTGTTCCTAATTGCGAAATGTGGAGAGGAAAGCAATGAGTCTAATCAGTTTCTGTGGAGTTTTGTACCAGGGATGGGAATTCTGGAAGCATGCATGACCTTTCCAATTTCTTGAAGCCTTTCCCTACTCTGGTTTGTAGCAACATCTGGTTTAGGGGTCTTCAGAGTCTGCAAAGTATTTATTATTTCATTCAGAGTTGCTTATGTAGCCAGCATACCTTCACTGCTTAAATTGCAGAGCCTTATACTCTGCCTACCATCCATAATTTCTGCAGGTGATGACTCTGGTTATATTACTACTAACAATAGTGTACAAAGAAGCAGAAGAAAGTAGATTCTCCTGAACACTCCAGACAGGGTAAATGGTGACAGCTCAGCTTTTTGGTGCTCTAGACACAAACATCTCTAGGGGTGTGGTGGTCACTTTGGTTAGAATTTGCTATGAAGGAGTACTGAATCAGATGGTAAAGAGCTATAAAAGTAATTTAGTGCCATTAGAAAATAGCTTCTAATGATGTCAGATTCTGTGTGAGTAGGAAAGCAACTTGAGCTTTTGTTTCTTGTGGCCAGTTACTGCTGTACAAGTGAAGCAACACCTCTTTACATCTTGTGACTTGTCCTGCTCTGTGAGTTGTAATTGAAACTATTATCCCATCCAGGGACCTGAATCTCCCTATTTTGTGTCACTTGGTAATATTTTACCTGTGAAACAGTAGTTGGGATTAGTCAGATTTCAAGGAAGTTAAAGTGTGCAGCAGAGCATTTGTTCCCAGTGTTTAAGGGCTCTGATTGCAGTCCCAGCCACTCACACATGACTCCTCAGGCAGCTGAGTGGGTGGTGTTTCAAAGAAACTATTTTCTGAAGTCAAAACACTTATGCTATGCCTTACTTAGCTGTAAGAGATCAAGATAAAATTAATTTAAGATTTGTTTCCCATTACAATAGCTCAGGTGGGAGGGAGGCTGATACCTTAGACTAAGAATAAAGGCAACTGGTGGGAATACGTAAAACTACTGAATTGTTTTGACTGCTAAAGAAGATGCCAATTCTGGGGCACAGCTGGTGGTTTGTGAAACATGTCAAAAAGCTTATGTTGTGGCTGCCAGCACTGCACTTCTTCTTCAGATAAATAAAATGCCCTTCCATGTCACTTCCAATCCTGTAACTGTCAAGACCAGAAACCATTCATCTCTTTTATAAAATACGAAATAAAGCTTGCAATTAGCTTATTTTCACACATTTTTCCCTCTTTCTTGTTGGTATATGAGAAAAATTCAGACTGACTAAAAGGACACAGCTTGAAATGAACTGTTTGGTCTTGCTCTGATTTTGTCCTTGTACTCTGTAATTCAAAACGAAGTTGCTTAGGCATTGCAATATCTTTTGCTTCAGACTTAAGCGGTGGTTTGGATGACCTCTTTAGGTAACCTATTTCATTTAATGATCTTGTAGTGCTGTTTAAGATGGGAAAACTCACTATGTTTAAAACATAGAACTTCAAAAACCGAAAAAAATGCTTGGATTCCCATACTGTCTCCAGCCCATCTGGAAAAAAAATATGGCTAAATATGAGTGCTTTGTATGGAAACAGAGTAATAAATGTTGTGTTTGGGAATTATGAGTGTCCCCAATGGCTGATGCTTTGGCAGCCTCTGTCCTCATCTCTCCGTGCCTAAATGTGACTGATTGTTTGGTGCTCTGCAGTGACTTTTCAAGAGTGTTTTCCAACAGAAAGTTGAGGAACCTTCTAAGGGGCCAGGTGGTTTTCTTATTGTTTACTCAGGAAAATAATTGAGGTGAGAGATCTGTATCAGTTAAACTTTTTTTTTTAATAAGTTCTAGCAAAAAGCTCTAGAAATGTACAGTTGAGTTATTATGAATGTAGCTTTTGATAAGTTTGAACAGTTGTGATGAGAAATGCTATATTTATATCATCGGTACATGCACTGTTGCTAGGATTGGGGTACATACTTGTACATCCCTTTTATTTATCAAAAAAACAGGTGTAAATATTGCCCAATTGCCTAGTATTGAGCAGACCTTAGAGCTGTTCATTAAAGTGTCAATATTTTTCAGACTGAAGTTAAGGTCACCAACGATGGTTCTTCATTTGCAGCTCATTTAGGGAAAAAAAAATCCTCAGCTTGATCATCAATGTGTCTGTTGGTTTTCATTTAGCAGCAAGACAATGAAAACTGTGATTCTTGTCCAGATAACCTACAGCTGTGATCTTGCTAGATTTGCATACGTAAAAGGCATCAAAGTTCTAGACAGTAATTCTATGTTTTTAAAATCAAGGTTATGTTGCTACTTGAAGCATTTTAGGTGTATTATTTTAAGTATGGTCTTTGCACATCTGAACTGGGTGGGCAGGCAGGAATCTCAACCAACCCACTAAAATCCTTTATACTTAGATGAAAGGGCTGGAGGGAAGGTTACAGCCTTTATGCTCAACAGTCTCTTTTGTTGCCTATTAGAAATTAGCATAATTTCCCTGCCCCTGGTGTTACCTGAGCAAGCTGAGATTTCAACTGACAGTGAAAATTGGGTTGTTACATTCTACATGTGAATTTAATTCTGTCAACATCTCGGTGCCAACCATATGAGCTAATTCATTTGCTGCTCTCTTTATGGTTTGTACATGGTGGGGAAATTGCTGAATGTGCAAGGAGCCTGAGGACATCCTTAATGCCTGTCATGGCTAACAGAAGCTCACTCACCAGCAATAAAAACAATAACAAAAGAATCCCAAGGCATAGGACTCCGATTAACAAGGTGGAGAATTAGGGTTGATGTCCTGGCTCTGTCGTGACTTAGCTGAGTGGGGGTTTGTATTTTTTTTTTTATTATTATTATTATTTTTGATTTTCTATTGGCCTTGACATTTCCTCTTCGTTCATCATCTCTCATAGCTGTTACAATGGAGCGTTCTGTTGACTCTTTGTGGCTTTTGGAACTAGGGTTTCCCATCGCACTTGTCATTTGTTTTTAGAGCTACCCTTGGTGAGTCTTTTCAGTCTTCACCAAATGCCCATTTAGTTCTTTTCTCCATTTCTTTCATAATCTTATGAAATTTTGAAATAGATGCATTTCAAGATAGTTACCTTGATGAGACCATCTGTGGTTGTCTCTGTCCCCTGCTGCTTCCTGTTTTTTAATTCTGTCCCATTATGGGACTTCCTGAGGGTGAAAGATCCCCCAAAGCCCAGTTGCCAGTGTGAGGGGAAGTGTCCTCATTGCTCCACTGAGTCACTTGATACTCCCTCACCACCTTTTCCCTGCTGCTCACTGCTGGTATCTTGGAAGGTATCCTCAGAGCGAGATAAGAAATGCAGACTCCAGATGGGTTGAGTATTTTTCTTCACTGTTGCTGACATTGAAAGTGTTTAACCCTGTGTGTGACAGGCTGAGATACAACCAGAGAGATGGAAAGCTCCCTGGCATCACTGGCCCTGGCATTTGGTGTTTTATATGCTTTGCCTGCAGCTTCTCACTTACATTGGTGCCTGACCTTCCTCTTTCTATCCCATGCTCCTTTTTTATCCCTGACTGCAGTAAGGATTTCACTACTGGAGCAGGACAGAGTTTTAGGCAAAGTTTTCTCTTTTTTCTGAGTGTGGTATGTTGCTTTGGATCCTGCTTTTGTGGAGGGTCGTTCTTTTTACTGTCACTTTCTATCATACTTTCTGTTCCTAACCAGTTTTACTTGCTTCTGCTTTAAGCATTAAGCACTTTAAGCTACATTTCATACAGTGTATTTCAAACTGGCCGTGGTTTTCCAGCTTAAACTTAATGGGGTTATGATTGCAAGTACCTGGGCAGACAATAGTTTCTTATTAACTAATGGTTTTCCTTGCACGATCCAAAGGACTTAACTCATCTTGTTTATAAGTTACAACACTGGGAGGTGGATGCTTTCTTTTTTTTAAATTATTATTATTTATTTATTCTTTATCACAGCTGCATGAACAGCCTCTAGCTACATGCTAAGTTTCACTTGCCAGACTGCATTTTTCTTTATTTTAATAATATTTTTTTATTGCTAGAGATTTACTTTGATGAGAAGGAAAGGAAAATCAAGACTGAAAGTATCAGGGCAGTGCTGCAAGGGAGAACAGATTGCATTTGCCTTTCTAGCTCATTTAAGCATCAGATTTAAAAAAAAAAAATTTGCTTTTCCAAACAACTGGGGTATCAAGAACTATTCCTCCATCCCATCTTGTCTCTGTGTGCCATGTAGCAGAATTTTCTCCATAAGCAGGGTGTGCTAATTGTCTCTTGACTCATTAATGAAATGGAGCAAAGAGAAGCTTGATGGAGAGACATCATTATATGAACCCCTCCTTGGACACCTGCCCTAACCCTGAGAAAAGCTGGATTTATAAATGCTTTGGAGTGTAAGAGCACTGTTTCTTTAGGCTCTTCTAGTAGAATGGGACAGGATGAACTACTTGTGGAGCAGCTAAACCTTATTTAGAAGGCATATGTTTGCTAATTATTAGTTGGAGAACTATAAATGCAAGAGGTGAGAAATAGCTATGGTGCAAAGACAGGAATACAGAAAAGACACTTCTGGCCTCAGTTCAGTCTGAATTAATGCACCTCTTAATATTCTCTACAACCATAATTATGTGAATAATAGCCAGAATGAAGTTCAGAAAACAGAAGTTTCTCATGCCAGGTAATAGCTTGAAATAGAAAGAAGCCAAAGGTTGTGATTTCCTGCCAAGCAGAACATGGTGCTGCTTTGAGTTACTCTTCCAAGCACGGTTTTGGGAAGGCACTCAGTTCCTTTTACTGTCATGTGCAACTGGAAGATTCCATTTGATGTGTAATTCTAATTGCAGTGTGACAATGTGCAAGGAAGAAAGTGAGATGTTGCAGAAATAGCCTGAGTCAGTTGTTTTAATTACTGCTCTATGGGGAGACTATTGTGGCATTGAGGCACGTCTGAAAAATCTGTGAGGATAGGTGTAATTATACAAAGGCCTATAATAAGCTGAAATTCGGTAAGAAAATGAAATGTTTCCAGTAAACACAATACCTCCATATACATTTGTGGATTATTAGTTAGGAAGAGTTGCTTTCTGGTGTATTGTCATGTTTGCAGAATTAATATTGGTGACTGTCAGCAGCATTTAGGTAAAGGCAACATGTAGAAAGTGCACTTTGTAGCGTGGAGATGTGGCAAAAATGCTGAGTTACTATTTTTCTTACAATACTAGTCTTGGAATATGAACTCAAAGAATACAGAACTGATAGAGAACTGTAACTGGAACAAAGAATTACTTTTTATTGTCTTTGTACAAACATTATCCCCAGAAAAGTCAATAACAATAGTCAAGGAACTAGAACTGATTTCTAAAGAAATGGTGAAATGAGCAAGTGTGCAGGTTGGGATGAGGCACTTTGAGAAAACTGAGTGTTCATGGCAGTAAACAACAGAACTGTGTGGTTCTTTGACAATGCAAGTTATTGGTATGAAACTTAGGAAAGAGACATTTAGTGGATTTTGACAAGTACTTTAAAAGTGCAATGCAGTAGGTATGCACTGGGAAATCCATGAGATACTGAAAATTTCCTGTCAAGTTAAACTTGCAGTTATTTATAGCCTACTGATAAATGAAGTTTTTAATTTGCTGTACCACTGCGGTTTTTTTGCTCAGACACTGGTATAAACCCTAGTATGAATGACCATGAGTTGGGTGATGATCATTTAACTACTGTATGTTGCAGTATCTAGCCTCTTGTTGACATAGATTAATGATATTCTTTCTTTTTGTAGTATGACATCGCACACAAGATTGGTGACATAACAGTGGTATAAGCATGAAGAAACAGGCATCAGTTTTTGCATGACTTTCCAGTATGGTGAAACTGAAGTACATTATGAAATGAAGTGCTGGGGTTTTTTTACTTGATCTCACTTTAGATTCAAGATTTTTAAGTAGGCTGTATTCAGTTTTGTAAGTACCAAATTTTTTTCTTTTTCATATTTTTAATGCAAAGTTTACAAAGCCACTCCTGACATTTTTCTTACTACTTTCATGTTTTGAAAAGCTTGTACCATCCCTCCTCTCTTCTTCTTTTACCCCATTCCTGGAGATGGAAAAAATTGTGAAGTTAACAAAATCAACTCAGGTAGCAGAAATATAGCCTTAAGCAGTGGGGTGTTAAAGAGATTGTAATCTGAAATAGAGTAGTTTGGGGTTTTCCTAGCTCTCTGGTCTGCTGATTTCATAAGGAAGTGTGTCATCTCTTGAATGCTGTGGTGATACCCATGAGGACTTACAAACTGTGTGCAAAATGCGCTGTGTTTTGAGATTGTATATATTTTATAACACTTAATAAAATATACTTGAATGTTCCAGTTAACACATGCTTCAGCATAATCTGTTAATGCAGGTGGTGTGGTAATCCATGTCTGTGCACTTCGTTATTCCTCCTGCTCTCCAGTTTACCCTGCAGAAATCCAGAGGGAAGAAGAGTATGCTTTTTAAATCAGGCTGCTTTTGGGGTCCCCACTGCCTCCT